ATCATTAATAATAGGCAGTAACCAATAAACTAATATGTAACGCCAGGCTTATCAATTGTATTAAATATATAAGTTGCTTTGCACTTTGATCTATAATGAATATTTATTCTTCTTAATGTCTGAATTTCATTGAACCACGAAAAGAAAATGCTTGAATAAACCAATAAAAAGTACTAAATGTTATTGTATGAAATTAAGTCATTGATAAATCTACAATCCTTTAAAGTTTAAAGTAAACTAAAATTTTATGTAGCTTATACATTTTTTCTTTAATTGTTTTTATATGATTTATTTAAAAATATAAACATGATATTTCTTTTTTATTATTGTTTAGATTAAAGCTCCTAAAGATAATGGACCAAAATCGTTGAAGTTGTTTATTAACCAGCCAAACACCATAGATTTTGATGCTGCAACATGTAATTTAGCCACACAAGAACTTGAATTAAAACCTGAAGAATTAGATGGTAAAATTATCAACTTGAAATATGTTAAATTCCAGAACGTCCATAATCTACAGATATTTGTTGTGAACAATCAAACTGATGAGGAAGTAACAAGAATAGATAGCTTGGATATTATTGGAATGCCTATATCTACAACTAATATGGGTGATTTCAAACGTGTTGCCGGTAAAGTGGGAGAAGCTCATTAAAAGTGATGATATGTGTTCATAAAAAACCATACGGTGTGTGTACTAAATAAACAATCTAAAATAATTAATCATCATTAAACCATTTTTTTATTCTCAAAAATTATAATAAATAATTATAACATTTATACATTTTTTATGTTTAATATAAAACTCATATTTGTAAAAGAAAATGTATTCAAGACCGTTTTACCAAGTAAAATGTATCATCTGGCTTAAAGTTTTTATTTAATATTAGATCTTTTAAATTTAATATTTCATCATATTCTTCCCAAAAACTATCACCTATAATATCTACGTGTAATGGACATATGACATGTTTTTTAGATTTAGATGGTGGTAAATTAACAAGTTTTCTTACTAACACTGTGCCCTTTCTATAAATTGGTAACTCATTATTGTAATTAGTTCCGCATTCTTTAAATAATATTTCATTTTTTTCTGACGACACTGTCCCACTCAATACTTTCTCAGCCTAAAACAAAAATCCAAGATTAGTACTTATTCCATCAAAAAGTGCATCAAGTTCCTGTTTCACTTAGAATCAGTACCTCATTATTTGATAATCCTTTCATTAAAACAAGCCCCCAAAATGCTGTGTTGTACAAGTTATTTATGTGGGTATCTGCTTGTCGCCAACTTAGGTAGTCGCGTAAATTTTGATCAGTTGGATATAAAACAACCCGAGCATCGAAAGATGGTGGATATAAAAGTTTTTTATCTTCAAAACATGTATTCCAATAGTATACATATGATGCAGAAAATATACTGTTAATCGCAGACATAATTTTCGACTGCCGTCTATTGTATAGATCTGTATTTCTCCTAAGAATAAAACTATATTCATCGCTCTGTCCATAAGCTAAAGATACATCTCTGAATTCTTCCATAACTGCTGCAGCAGATCTGTTCATTAATTCCAAAGCTCTTTTATCATTTGGTTTTTCAAATTTGTGTGAGGATGTAAACCTATTAACAATAATTTAAATTTAATAAGTTAAAATTCTCAAATTCTTTTTTGGACAAGAATATTATTCACTTGATACCAAGAACTTGATGGTTTGTTTAGTAACAAAATACATTACTCTAAGATACATTTTAATTACATTTGGAAATTTACATCTTAGAGCAGTGCTGATCAGGGTAATGGGGGGGAGGGTTCTTCCACTGAGCGCAGTTGGTTAAGGTCACCCTTAAATTTTGAAAAAATCATAAGCCAAGAGTATTTTATTTATTAAAAATGTATATTTTAAACTATTTTGACAGGTTTTGATTTGTTGTATAGTAGACTTATTAGTTTTTATGCTATTCTTGTCTTCAGACAAAACCGATTGATTAAAATTAAAAAAACTAAGACATTTTTAAATTATGCTTGCTTTTTTTTAAGAATTTATTGGTAGGATATTATATACTCTTTATAATTTATAATTGATCAAGTTTCAACTTCAATATTTATGAGTAAAATACCCTTATTGATTTATTTTTAAAAATATTTTCTCTTGTTCAGTACTAGTTGAGCCAAGGGGACTTTCATTCAACTAGCCCCAGGTGTTAAATATCCTAGACCTGACACTGCCTGAAAGAAAGATACATACAAGTCAAAAGTTCAGCATAACTTAACTAAATTATAAACTAATAAGATTAGTGCAGTATTTCTGATATAACTCATTGTAGTGAACTAGTAATCTTATTAAATGCCATATATTTTACATAACACTATAGCAGTTATGTATTAGTGTAATACCAATATAAATACCTACTGAAGTAAGCAATTCATATTAAACCACTACTGTTTGACCATTATTGTATCAATACCTATTAAGATTGATAAAAAAACATAATGAAAATGATTAGTAGATTTGTACTACGTTAATAGATGGCATGTATAAATAATGAATAAATCAATTTAAAGTGTAAAACAGACCTATGAAACGAACGACCATCCAATCGTACAACAATCCAACAATTCTGTAAACATCTGTCTTCAACTTCAAATGTTCGCACATATTCGTACTTGCTTTTAGCCATTACTTTTGAGGTACTAAATTTGAGATGAAAAACTCTGTGCCTATAAATAATTGATTTACATAATTACATGTGAAACATGTTAACAATTTTCTTGATTACAGAAACATGAAATTACAAAGTAAAAATTCTTGTGATATAAGAATATGAATGATAATGAATCTTATAAGAACTATTAATGAAATTTTTATACGACTGGTGTGAATCAGTCAAGTGTACTATTCAATGTATTTATCATATAGTTAATTTCAAATAGATTCAGTTACAACTTTCGTTGTTAATTTTTTTTCTTTCAATTCCGTAAGAACACACTTACGGACCATCTACTACATATCACGCCAAGGCGACCTACGACGTAAATAAGCACGATACAATAATATAAATAAATACTTACCAGTCGCGTAGACTTATCAATTTTTTTGTATATAATAACATGCAAACGAATTAATTTATAAACGTGTACAACTCAAAACAAAAACCAAAAAAGCGTGGTAAAAAATAACTATAGTAACTACATAAATGGTGATAACGTACAATGATAAGATGATAACAAAAGATAAATATTATTACAGTTTAGTACTCACTACTCAAGTAGGTTCTGTGGTGGGTACTATACCTTAGAATCAAAGACTTAGATCGCGGTCTTAGAAGACATGGTCCAGACCGTGCCTTAGATCATAAGCAGTATCTATCTAGTATAGGACCGCAGTACTATGCCTTGTGTCCCTGCAGTCCAGCACTTCAGCGAGAGAACAAAGTGCGACTCGAAAAATACTTCAGGGTAAACCCTCGGGTTCTCCTGTTCTCCCTACACTTCACCATGACCCCACCATAATGGAACCTGTCTCGATAGCAGGGTGTCTCGTGGGGATGCGCAGAATAGGCGTGTTCTCTCACCCGATAGAGTATATAATATTATAGTCGTGTACGCGGCACTTTTGTAATTAAGAGCCATGTCAGAGCGCCACTCGTTTTTCCGCTCTTGACCTGCGCACAATTTTGTTCAGCAGAACTAATCCTGTATTGTTACTTGTAATATTAGAGTGAATTCGTCTGTTAAACTTTAAACTATGAACGTTATCTGTGTTCCTACGTTAGTATTTTACGATATTTTAATTTTTATGCTTTGTATAAGCATTTTTAAATCGTAACAATTTACACGCTCATAACTAGCATAATAATTAATAATATCTACATCATAAAATGGTCAACGTAGGAACACAGATAATGTTCTTGACTTAAAGACTTATTATAGATGAATTCATTCCTATATTAAAAGTAATAACACAAGGTAGGTTTTTCTATGCGTACCTACATTTGCGATGTTGCGCATGGGTCAGAGAGAGAGAAAACAAAAAAACAACCTCTTAAGAGGACGTGATACCTGCATGTGTTGTCTCTGTCTTACAAGTGCGTAACATTGTAAATTTTACGTTCAGCTGAACACGTGTAGCTCCGTTAGTTTAAAAATTAGTGCGAATTGACCTCTTATAAAATCTAAAGGTAAGAATATTATCTAGGCAAATTCATAGGTTTTTTATTATATTTTAATTTTAACTCGAGTTATGAGTATTTTAAAATTGTTTATACATCTTAAAATGGCTGCATCAGAATTGCGTGACAAAAAAATGAGCAGTTTTGGTCAATAACCGAATTGCGTGCGCAGTTTTTATATGACAGGGTGAAGTTGCGTGCGACAGTGCGAGTATTTTTTATTTTTTTGGGACACGTCCGAATTGCGCGCGTTAAAGTTTGAGTAGACGACCGGTTTTTTAATCAGTTTAAATGGTAGTCGACCTTTACATATCGTGCTGTAAAAGTACTAATATAAATATAACTAATGGCAGTGGTCGGGAGTAGCGCGCTAATTGTAGCGACGCTACTTTAGCTGTAGCGATTAACATAGGGTCGCTACAGTATATACAATGTAGCGAAATACTATAGCGCTCTAGAAATTTACGGTTAGTGTAGTGAAAATGTTCATTATTCTATCCTTAGATCATATTATACACTAATACACTGGATAGAGCTGTAGCATATATCACGCGTAGTCCGTGTTTGAAGCAGACCTGTTCATGCCCGAAGTACTTATTGCGCATGCGTGAGAAATGAAATAGATCGCGCGGGACGGGGAAGAAACAATAATGTGTTATAGAAATAAGGACGATTACCAATGAATGCTTAGATCATAAACTGTGCTCATGCGCAGTGATGACTTCGGGCACGAACAGCTATGCTTCAAGATTTTAAACCATAGCTCTGTCCAGTGTATAAGATTAAGCACAAATGGCCTATCCCACGATTTAAGATATTTATATATATACAATTCTTATCAAACAACAGTTGACGACACTTCTAGTCGTTACTCGTTAATCGTTACTCGTTGCGCAACCTGTATATCTATTATCTTTGATTATGGTCTTAGAAAATCTTCTGAGGCCGTGTCTTTCATCGTGCCTAGTACAACTACATACCTTCTGAGTTCTGTTCTGACCCTCTCAATGTCTCAATTCCCACTTATTGATACTCTAGACTTATAAAAAAAAAACACTTTACAAAGCCTCTCCAATGTTAAGAGAATCATAGGATCAAAGCAACTTTTGTTTTTACTTAATTGAATAGTTTAATATTATATATTTCAAATTAAAAGTTTTAAGTTGAATAAACACTTCAAATTCGCAAATACCTTATAGGTATTTTTATTAGAATATTTTGTTCTCTAACTTGTTTCTAATTCAGTTAACATGACAATAATATATTAATAAGTCAGTCAATCGTTTTTGATGCAAATTTGATCATTTTTAACCATATTTCTTGCAGATGGCTGATAAGTAGTAATATACAATTAAGGTTGAGTCTAACTGTTGTGTAGTAAATATTTGATTATTATTTGTCACACATTTGAATAAAATTATAGAAACACCGAGGACAAGTTTCATTGTTCAAATGGACTGTGTATTGAATTGTTGCGGGTTTGTGATGGTCATAAGGATTGTTCAGATGGTTCAGACGAGACAAAAGCTTTATGTGCTCTATTGCCTCTTCACGATTATGGAACAAATATGACCATAGGTAGTAGGTACCAAATAATAGTTATATGACAATTAATTATTAATATTATTTATATGTTTGTGTGATAACTAATATATTTTAGAGTTATGCGTTGTTACTCATTTTAATCTAAATATGGAGCTTTTAATATTGTTTTAGGTTGTGGTAGAGCATATGTTGAAAAAAACGTATTGTTTCCCAATGTCAAAAAAAATAATGTAGGAACGGCACCTTGGTATGTTGCAATATATAAATTAATGGACTCCAATTATGAATTGATATGTGGAGGATCAATTATT